TTGAGTTGATTTTGAGGGGGCTGTTCCAGCACATAGCAATACAAGGTGCTTGTGGATGTTAGGAAGTGTCAAAGGCTCTCACATACCTTGACTAACAGCCCATTGTTGAGTGACTGTGTGATAAAAAGCACACTATTGTCAGATTACAAATGGTGTGCAACGTCAAAAACATGACACAGATTAGTGTCAAGGGCCATAGCCATGAGGCTGGAGTCAGCTGACTGGACTGGGATAGCAATACCAGACCCAGAAAAAGTGTCATCAACAATGAGGCACCACTGATAGCCTGAAGAGGAGTATCAAAGATCTCATGTAACCAGTCTACTAGTAGTGTGTGATATCGTCCCTCTCACCAGGAGATAAATGGTTTTTTTTTCCCCCGGGACTCACAAGTCTGGGATGAGATGGTAGCCTCTGCATCAGAAACACAGAGTCCTTTACTTTGTCATCTATTTGTGATGGTAGATGTGTTGCTGTGTCTGGTATGATGCTTGATCAGCAGCAGTGGTGGCAGTCTGAGCAGCACAGGCTTGATCAGTAGCTCGATTCCACTTGTTCTTATCAGACAGTGGGCCCTTCCTTCCCATGCGGCATCTATATTGGTGATCCAGGTGGTTGGATCAGCAACTACAGTTAACTTCCACAGTTTATGGACAGTCTTTAATATACCATTCTGTAGTTTTCCGTGTGACAGACCAGCTAGGCAGGCCATGGGTAACAGTCTGAGAGTCAGTGGAAATATAACAAGGTTTTCAAGGGGAGTATTGGCCTAATCTATGAGAATGTCCTTGAGTTCTGCCCACAGAACAAAGCAACCACACCCATTTTCAGTTCTGTGTAACAGGCACTGAGGTTGAGCAGCACAGTAGCCCACTGGACACCACAGAGTTTCAGCTTAGTTGAATCATGAGTGAACCAGGCCCCCCCCAGGCATTTAGCGAACCTCTGTGAATCAAGGGCCATATTGAGCCAGTGGCTTTGGTTTAGATGGCAGAATGGAAGATCAAGCTTCCTGGAAGGCATAGCTGCTACTTTTTCACATAGAGCTGAGCTGCCATAGAGGCCAGGCTGGCTACATCCTTGAATGTAGCCAGCAGAGTCTACATTCCCTGTGATGAGAGAGGCTTGTGGGGCCCTTTCCACCTCGTTACTCATTGCATTTGAGTTGACCCATCCCCAAATGGGAATCTTTTCAAAAGATGCATATCTGTTAGCTGTGTCAGGGAGGCATTGAATCCAAACCCAGCAGGCACTTCCAGAAGAGCTGCTTGTCTTGCCAGAGGCTTTGCTTAGTAAAATTGTCTGTGCACAGAGACTTGTACTCATAGGGGTCATAGGATTGTGGGGCCTTAAAGCTACTAGTGCTTTTCTATGTGGGCTTATGCCAATGGGTATAATCTCCTCTGGAGTTTATGAGCATTCACAGTACAAACATGTAGAATATCAATACCAGTTACACACTCATCAGTGTGTACACACAACAGAAGCCACAACAGTAGCACATTGGGTCAGAGGGCCTCACCCAAAAGGACACATTAGCTTCCCTTCTCTGCTGTGAACCCTACCCAAACCTCAGCAGTTGAAAGCAGGTAAGTTATCCCTCCACAAGACTGGTATGAAGGTGACTTGGGCTCTTGTATCCAATAGAGCCATAACATTTTGGGTCAGTCCCCACCCCAAAGTTATCTAGCATACCCAGGTGTGTTTGGTCTTCAGTCTCCCTTGGCAACTTGGAGAACTTGGCTCCACCCCTAACCTTTCTCTTTTAGCAGCTGAGGTTGAGGTATGGTGGGCAAGGAGGGGGTTGGGAGAGAGCAGCTCTGCACCAGTAAACAACGAGCATGTACTTTCAGTTTTGGGTGGTGATGTAGATGCATGCTCATCAGCCAGATAAACCAGTAGTGTTTTTGGTCCTCCCAAAACCCTATTTTCTGTGACAAGGTTATGATTATGGACATCCATTTCTGTATGGGAACACCTTGATTCAACAGCTACAGCCACATTGCTTTCTGGTGGGGACAATGGGTTTTGTACCCATTGGCTGACTTGGGCTTTATCTGTAGGGTGGCGTCATTGTTTTTAGGAGTCCATTTTAAGGTGGGCTATTTGATGCTCCTTTGTCAAGATAACGTCTCTTAAATTCTTTCTGCATTTCAATACTGGGGCTAGGGGAGACTTCTAAGTTTGCAGGGTTGATGGCAAGACTTATCTAGATCCTTTGAACTTTTATAGTTTCTGATTCTCCAGTGAGTTATCTTCATCTGCATTTTAAACCCAATCCAGTACTGTAGACTGGTTGGTGTTGAAGGAAGTTTGTCTTAGGGAAATTTCCCCAAGAGAGCTGAAGGTCTCTTGTAGCAGGGATAAGACCTATAACTAAAAAATGCTGATGCCCTTTACTGTCATCTAGAAAGGACTGATTTTTTTTCTTTTTTTTTTTGAGACAGGATGTTGCCATCTAGCTAGAGTGCAGTGATGTCATCATAGCTCACTGGAACCTCAAACTTCTGGGCTCAAGCAATCCTCCTGCCTCAGCCTCCCAAGTAGCTGGGACTACAGGCACATGCCACAATGCTCAGCTAATTTTTTCTATTTTTAGTAGAGACAGGGTCTTGCTTTTGCTGGTCTTGAACTCATGACCTCAAGGGACACCCCCCACCCCCAGACTCCCAGAGTGTTAAGATTATAGGCATGAGCCACTCCACTGGGCCTCTCAAAAAGATTGAATATTGACAAGACAGACTGCAGGAGGAGCTGAGTACTAGGACAGCCAGTTGTTGCCATTGTTTTTTAACAAGCATTACATGCCCAAACAATGTAATTAATTACATGCCCCTCATCATCCAAGCAAACCAGCCCAAGTTCTAAAGATTTACCTGGTTCTACCCACAATGGCTTCAGATTTTCCTCTTTTCACACTCAGTGTAGATGCATCTCTGTAATTCCTGCCCAAAAGGGAACAGAACCCCTCTCCCTCTGCCAGGCAAACCTTAGCACTAGTTGTTCATGGGGCACACCTGCTGAGGCTGACTGTCAGCTTGGTGAGGAAGTCCTCCCATCTGGAGGAAAGTTGGCAATAACCAAGGCATCATTCAGGCTGTTGTCCTTTAATTTGCCCACTTCCTGGTACTCAGCCTGAAACTTCCTCTTCAATTTAGGCTCATTAACAGGCAATAAAGTGGAGGACTATTCACTGCCTGGTTGACCATACAATTTGGTTAACATGTTCATTAACAATTCTCATAGACCTTCTCAGTTCCTGTTAACTGGCCTTTCCTTGCCTTTATAGAAAGCATTGTCTCTGTCAGCATTCTATTATCATTGCCAAAACTGTCAAAAATTGTGAAGGGCCTGAGTTACCCTTGCAAGCTAACATGTTTGCCTAGTGCAATTTCATGCATTCTGTTGGAAAACATGAGGCTCCTGGGTCAGAGACAAAGGATTTGATTACTTAATGGCAATAGCAGTACCCAGAGTGTCAGCATTTGTGCCAGGTAACAGAGCCCCAGTTTCCTCAGGGTACTGCAGAGAAAGCCAGGTGATGCCTGCATACACACAGTTTGGCATATGAGAGGAAAGAGACTCCCAGCTTAGGGGACCAGATCTTTTATAGTGGGCAGAAAACCTTTTTACCTTTGTCTTGGAGGGTTACGTTATCTTTATTATACTGGACAGGAAACAGCCTGCCCTTTGCTTTCCAAGGAGATGCTATATTTTCTAAGGTTGTTTATATAAACGTCCAGAACAAAGGGAGTTAGTGCATCTTTTTTCAGAATGTACAGAAATGCTAGACAAGCATATAGAGAGGTGTCTCTTTCCAGCTTGTTTTGGGGTTGTGATAGCATTTTTTAAATTTTTGAGAAAGAGTCTTGCTTTGTTGCCCTGTCTAGAGTTCAGCGGCATCATCATAGCTCACTGCAACCTCAAATTCCTGGCCTCAAGTGATCCTCCTGCCTCGGCCTCCCAAAGTGCTAGGATTACAAGTGTGAGCCACAGTGCCCAGCTGTGATAGTATTTTTGATAACAGGTTCTTTTCCTAATCAATCTAAAAATCCTGGTGAAATAAGACAGAATTTTAATAGATACCGTTTCAAGCGTAATATTAAGGTGTTCTTTCTGACAGTACCTTTTTTCCTTTCTTTTTCCTGCTTCAGTTCAGTTTAGATCCTGGTTTTTTCTCGCCTGGACTACCGTAATTGCCTCCTAACTTGTTTCACTGCCTGTAGTTTTTTTCTTTCTATCCTCAACACAACTGCTAGAGGGGTCTTCTTAAAATGCTTGTATGATTATGTCACTCAATTTAAATTTGTCATCGGTTCTGCATTACTATTAGGACAAAGTATTTTTACAAAAAGCCTCATAGGCTGGTAGTAGGTAGGCTGCACCAAACAAGTTTCTAGACTGCTTATTGACAGTTGACAATTTATAATTCTATACTTTTGTCTGTAGCACATTGTTCTTTCTGTCTTTAATAGTTTCCATATCTGCCTCTTATACTCCTTCCTATTCATCCTTTAAAACCTGCCTACTCTGTAAATTCTTTAAGTGAACTCTTTTCAACCTAGTTAGGTATCTTGCTCTCAGTACCTTTACACTAATTTCAAATAAATTGTGCATGTGTCATTACAGCACTGACGCCACTGTGTTATAATTACTGATTTTTTTTTTTTTTGTCTGCATCCCCATTAAATAAAGTGTAAGCTGTTGGGAACAGGACTCCTTTCCCCTTCTACACATACCAAGTCTTTAGGGAAAAAAACCCCTGCTTTCCTGAAAATTGTTTTAGAATCAAATTCATTAAATTATTTGGTGCTTTCAATCACCTTTAAATATTTCCTGCTTTTTAGCTTTGTATAATTTGCTTAATTTTAAAGAGAAAAATAAGGTATTCACTAGAAAATAGACATTTAGTACAGTCCTATGGTCCAGTATATATGGACCTCATATATATGATTTACTATGTCAAATAATTTCTTGTTTTGTTCACATTTAAAATACAGACTGTGGATATTCATAAAGAGAAAGTGGCTCGAAGAGAGATTGGTATTTTGACAACAAATAAGAATACATCAAGAACTCACAAAATAATAGCGCCTGCAAATATGGAACGCCCTGTAAGGTATATTCGGAAACCTATTGACTACACAGTTCTGGATGATGTGGGCCATGGTGTCAAGGTAAACATTTTATATTACATTAACGAGCTAATTTGCATATCCAATAAATATTTTAGATAGGAAATGTGATAATTTTCTTAATAGATTCTCTTTAGCTAGTAACTAGCATAATAATTTTCATAAAATGTTTAATATTATGTATTTACTGAACTTGGGGCAGACTTTTATTTACAGACTGGGCTATATTCAAAAAGTTATTGACTGGGCATGGTGGCTCACGCCTGTAATCCTAGGCACTCTGGGAGGCTCGAGGCGGGAGGATTTCTTTCTTTTTTTTTTTTTTTTAAGGACAGAGTCTCACCCAGGCTAGAATGAGTGCGATGGCATCAGCCTAGCTCACAGCAACCTCAAACTCCTGGGCTCAAGTGATCCTTCTGCCTCAGCCTCCCGAATAACTGGGACTACAGGCATATGCCACCATGCCCAGCTAATTTTTTCTATATATTTTTAGTTGTCCGATTAATTTCTTTCTA